ATAGTCATTGGTCGAAACTTCCCCTTCTCATAACTCGGTCAAAACTCAACCGATTTTAACGAGATTTGTTTTTTTATTCATGGTTTTGCCTCTAGTTTAATTTGGCATTTAAATCTGGCAACATGATTTTTGGTCGAAATTCATGTCAAAATGTGGCACCCAAAATCGAATATGTCCAAAAATCGGATGTAGTCAAGGGTCGAAATTTCCCCTTCTCATAACTCGGTCAAAACTCAACCGATTTTAACGAGATTTGGTTTTTTATTCATGGTTTTGCCTCTAGTTTAATTTGGCATTTAAATCTGGCAACATGATTTTTGGTCGAAATTCATGTCAAAATGTGGCACCCTAAATCGAATATAGTCATGGGTCGAAATTTCCCCTTCTCATAACTCGGTCAAAACTCAACCGATTTTAACGAGATTTGGTTTTTTATTCATGGTTTTGCCTCTAGTTTAATTTGGCATTTAAATCTGGCAACATGATTTTTGGTCGAAATTCATGTCAAATTGTTAACCTCCGAAGTTGGATATAGTCATTGGTCGAAACTTCCCCTTCTCATAACTCGGTCAAAACTCAACCGATTTTAACGAGATTTGTTTTTTTATTCATGGTTTTGCCTCTAGTTTAATTTGGCATTTAAATCTGGCAACATGATTTTTGGTCGAAATTCATGTCAAAATGTGGCACCCTAAATCGAATATGTCCAAAAATCGGATGTAGTCATGGGTCGAAATTTCCCCTTCTCATAACTCGGTCAAAACTCAACCGATTTTAACGAGATTTGATTTTTTATTCATGGTTTTGCCTCTAGTTTAATTTGGCATTTAAATCTGGCAACATGATTTTTGGTCGAAATTCATGTCAAAATGTGGCACCCTAAATCGAATATGTCCAAAAATCGGATGTAGTCATGGGTCGAAAATTCCCCTTCTCATAACTCGGTCAAAACTCAACCGATTTTAACGAGATTTGGTTTTTTATTCATGGTTTTGCCTCTAGTTTAATTTGGCATTTAAATCTGGCAACATGATTTTTGGTCGAAATTCATGTCAAAATGTGGCACCCTAAATCGAATATAGTCATGGGTCGAAATTTCCCCTTCTCATAACTCGGTCAAAACTCAACCGATTTTAACGAGATTTGGTTTTTTATTCATGGTTTTGCCTCTAGTTTAATTTGGCATTTAAATCTGGCAACATGATTTTTGGTCGAAATTCATGTCAAAATGTGGCACCCTAAATCGAATATGGCCAAAAATCGGATGTAGTCATTGGTCGAAATTTCCCCTTCTCATAACTCGGTCAAAACTCAACCGATTTTAACGAGATTTGGTTTTTTATTCATGGTTTTGCCTCTAGTTTAATTTGGCATTTAAATCTGGCAACATGATTTTTGGTCGAAATTCATGTCAAAATGTGGCACCCTAAATCGAATATGGCCAAAAATCGGATGTAGTCATTGGTCGAAATTTCCCCTTCTCATAACTCGGTCAAAACTCAACCGATTTTAACGAGATTTGGTTTTTTATTCATGGTTTTGCCTCTAGTTTAATTTGGCATTTAAATCTGGCAACATGATTTTTGGTCGAAATTCATGTCAAAATGTGGCACCCTAAATCGAATATGGCCAAAAATCGGATGTAGTCATGGGTCGAAATTTCCCCTTCTCATAACTCGGTCAAAACTCAACCGATTTTAACGAGATTTGGTTTTTTATTCATGGTTTTGCCTCTAGTTTAATTTGGCATTTAAATCTGGCAACATGATTTTTGGTCGAAATTCATGTCAAATTATACCTTGAAGGCTTCGATAGAGGTTTGGCAAAACTGTAGAGCTTTAAAGTCAACGCAGGGTATCTGCTAGCCAAGTATTTGGTTTTGGTTAGTTTTTAATTTTTTTTTCGATTTATATTTTGTTGTTGCCATGCCAGGCGGCAATTACGCGTCACGCAGCTGGACGTCGCGGCAAAGAACGCGAGCTCCGAGCTCCGAGCTGTGAGCACGCAGCTCGTTCGGTGAGCTGCACACACACACACACACACACAGAGAGAGACGCACAGAAATTGCCAGTGTAGGACAAGGTCGCATTTATTTGGTGCAGCCGCAATTGGGCAGCCACAACAGTGGATAAAGGGGGCGGACGGGCAGGCAATGGCTATGAGTTTGTGATTTGTATGGATATGTCGCGCGGGAGGAGGAGCAGCATGCTGTGCACGAAGGTTACCTGCAGTTCGCCCACGCCGCGTACACACCTACACCCCCACACACACACACAAACACACGTTCAGCCATGGAGACGTTGACAGAAATACTGAAAAATTATGAAATGAATACAAATATTTGCGGATCAGTGCGACGTGGCGACGTTGCACAAACACAGTGCGAAAGAGTCATCGCCATTGAATGTTGCCTTCAATGGGGCAGCATGGGGCGACAAAGTGCAAATCAAATGTGATGGATGATCTCAATGCTCGAGAGTGTTATTTGCTTCTTTTTTTTTTTTTGTTGGTTCTTATGCAGCGCACAAAACACAAATCGCAATCAAATTTGAAACGCCGCCTGAATAAGTCTGCCTCAGGCTGTAAGGCTTGCAGTTAAATGACAAATTTTGAGGAGAATTTGGAATGTTTGTATAAAAGAACAAGAGTGCTCTGGTCGGGAATGCCCGACGCAGGGATGCCCTGGACAGAAGAAAGGGCGCGGTGGGTACTATTCAAGAAGCTGCATGTCAAATTTGGTGGGATTAGCTCTTAAAATCTAGGAGATTTCCTCTAGAGAAGGCTTTCGATATCTATTTTTATCGATTGCTTGGAAACAGGTGCAAGTTATCGATTATCGCAAACAGACTCGTATTGCCCGGGCACTAAGAGGACCTACGTTCGACATTAGAAAGTCTCTAGCTCCGGTCTATAATAGGTTATTTGGAGAGGAAAATCGGGCTCACATGTCGAACTTTAAGGCGTGGCATTGACTTGTATCTTTAACAAATCGAGGGGCATAAACTTACTCACATTGGGTTGCATCTTGCGAACTAGACAAATGCTGCACTCTATTCTCCCTTAAGCTCTTTAAATGTCTAGATCAAAGTGTGGTCCTCAGAAGGTATGAGCTCTATAAGAATCATATTAAACATATGCCAAATTGTGTCTTAGCTAAAAATCTGTTGCCTCTTCTCTCCATAAAGCCTACAATATTACCTACGCAGACGAATGATAGCTAATGTTTGCTTTTAATGTGTTATCAATAGGCAATTTTCAGTTGAAGGATGGACGGCTGGCTGTTTGAAGTTTTATTCTTTTGGAAAAAACCATAAAAAAAGAAAAATCGGGGAAAACTATTGCGAAAGACTGATTAATGACAAATTGTGCGGCATGCAAACAGCAAATGCTTTATACCTAATTCCACTGGCCATCATCCAAGTCATTTAAAGTGGTTGCAATGCACACAAAAAAAAAAAAAAGAAAAGGTTGTTACTGTCCTGACACCCCCCCCTCACACACACACAGACAGAGAGAGGCATAGTTACCCCTCCCTGGCACACACTGTTTGCCCCCCTTTTCCTGACGCTGTTGTTGACGCTTCTTCCGTTCGCTGGTTTAGTTTTTCTTTTAGCTTACTTTGCTGTTGTTGTTGTTGCAGCACATTTTATTAACATTTTCATTTAGTTGCATGCGCTCTCTCTCAATCTCTCTCTCTCTCTCTCTCTCTCTCTTGTTTTATTTTGCTTTTCATTGCAATTTGTGTTTCTATGCATTTTTGTGTGTGTTTTACATTCGTTTTCGTGTCGCGCCACCCACTGCCCAGTTGCCACGCCACCCACACTGCCCCCCCCCCCCATCCCCCTCTCCACCAGCTGCTGTTCCCCTTGCAACATTGTTGCCACTGTTGCGCTCTTTTGCAGTTTGTTGAAGTTTTCATAATCATTGTCGTCGTCGTCGTCGTCGTCGTGGTTGTTGCAGTTGCAGTCGCCGCCTTTGCTTTTGTTTTTCCACGTTTTCATTTTTTTTATTTTTTTTTTTGTTAAGCCGCCGTCGCTTTTGGCTGGGTCTGGGAGATTTTCCAGCTTGAAAACAATGCCGGGAAAGCGGCTTATTTTCTATGATTTAAATAATGACGAAGACAACAGTCAGCAGCCACCTTCACTGCGGCCGCCACGCGAAGATGCCCATCATCATCATCAACATCATCATCATCATCATCCTCACAATGATCATGATGATGTTGCAGTTGATACAATGGCTAAAAGACATCATTGATATAAGATATAACTCAGACTATTTGCTGATGGTTTTTGTAATACACAGCGTAAAGGGTATGCTCGTTTTGTCAAGCAGAATGTAACGCATAGAAGAAGACGTCTATCAAGTGTATGGTATATATAAAGTTTATACGTCAGTATATATCTATAAAGTATTGGATTTCGCCATGAATCGCTCAACTATATCATATAGCTGCGGTAGGAATGATCCGTGTAAGATTCTATACTTTTATGAACAAGAAATGTTGTCAAGATAGGAGTACTGTACTATATGATCGGAGTACCATATCTTGATCTTATCTTGACAAAACTTGGAATTAACTTAGCTCCTTATAATAGAACAAAATCCTCTTAAATCGGATCTTTATATCATATAGAGATTATGAAAAGCGTGCGTCGAAAATTGACTTCTTATATAAAATACTTTTCAGTGTTTCGAGATTCCTTCATCAAACTCAGCATACAAAAGTTTCACAATGCTCCTAATATATCTACAAGCCCGTATCACATCGGACTACTATATAAAGTCACAAAGTATATAAAGCCACCTTTAATTCTGTCTTGAAGAGCATTTACTTTTCGGCGTGCTGAGCATAGTTTTTCTCTTTCTTTTTGGTCCATCTATAACATAAACAATAATCTTTTGTAGCTCTACACTTAGACCATGCTCCATTTACATAAATATATTGCCGATATCATCTTTGTCTAATGCATCGTTTTTTTTTATACTTTTTATTGTAGCAAAATGTTCATTGGCGGCCTCAGCTGGCAGACCAGTCCAGGTAAGTCTTGGCCCACATCTCGAGCAAAGCTCGGAAATTAGTTAAACTATGTTAAGTTTGGCAATGCCCAACGGCAATTAGCATTTATTTGGTTATATATACAACTTTGGCTCACAGTTCTGTGCTAACGAGCTGCCCACAATGAGTCGACTTTCAGATCAATGCAAATATCTTTTATCTAGACAGAAAATATTAAACAACACTCGTTTTGCTGTGAGTGAAAGCTAAAATGATTTCCAGCATTTCCGGTTAGATAGAAATGCAATTTTGACTGAAATAATCTAAGCGAAAAAAAAACAACTTATTTTTACAAATATTTTATTTAATCCCAAAGGTAAATAATAAGAATAAGAATAAGAAGAATAATAAAAAGATATCCAGTTTGATTAATATTTATTAATATTAAATATTATTTAATTATTATAAATTAATTTATTGTTAATATTTAATATTTAATAATAATAAATATTAATAATAATAAATTTAATTTTATACTGAAAAACAAATTTAAGAAAAATTTCCTAATTATTCAAATTTTATATTCAAAAACCTTTTTACTACAAACAATTTTTTTTTTTTCAAATTCGAACGTTTAACTTTGATTCGATTTAAAAATAGACAAATGGGTTATTAATAGAAAACAGATAAATTAGATATTTATAGTTCTAATGCAATGTTTAATATTTTGTTAAATTTCCAAACTGGCCCAATTCAATTTACACAAAATATGTGAGGCTGCTTTGCACAGATAAATATATATATATAGATATAGATTTATGTATTCGTAGCGCAATTTAAATGAGCCAACAAATTGATTCATTATTCAGCTGAGTTGTTGTTTATTTGACGATCGAACACAATGAACGACAATCGGGTTTTTGTTTTTTTCTTTTTTAAATTGAAATTGAAATTGTAATTGATGAAATGCTTGAGATTTGCTGCTGCCGCGACGTAATTCGACATCAATTGCCGGCAGTTGCACGGGGCAACTGTTGGCCAAGGGGGGGGGGGGGGGGGGGGGGGAATGGGGGCTTGTTACAGTTCAAGGGGCAACCATTATATGCTGCATAGTTTCATTAGGCTAATCAAAAGGCGGCTTCACTTTGCCTCATATTAACCAAATTTGATGTCGGACCCAGAAAAGAAAAAAGAAAACGGACCACTCGAAATGTTGGCCAAAAAAGAAACGACAGCAAGATGCCTTTTGATGCTCGGCTTGGCCAACTTAGAGTGTTGCAGTCTGCTGCCGCCAACACATCCGCCGCCGCAGTGCACACACACACACACACACACACACATGCACACACACTTGCATACAGTCAGCCGCATTGCCTTTTTGTGTTGTTGTCGCCGTTTTTGTGTTTTTGTTTAGCGAAATTGTTGGCTCCGCCCATCATCAGAATGGCACTCGGCATTACGCTAACATATTATAACCTATAGCGCATATCTACACACACACACACACACACACACACCAGCACACACACTTGCTTGCCAGCGCATATATGCCGCAATAGTTGAAGAGTCAATGCGGTCTTTGGTTTGTCTCTTTTGGTTTTTTTTTTGCCTTTTTTCCTCGTTTTTTTTTTTTTTTATTTTGGTTTCAGGTTTTTTGTACCTGTGCCAAAAAAATTTTCAAATTTTCAAATGGCTTCTTCAATCGTTGGGCCCCAACCTGAAATTTGGCGAACACGTGTGTGTGTGTGTGTGTGTGTTTCCTCTCCCCCTACTGCCCTTTTGTTATCTTCGCCCATTTGCTGTGTGTCTTCAATCTTTTTTAATTTTTATTGTTTTTTTGTTGTTATTTTTTTTGCTGTTGTTTTTATTGTATTTTTGCTTTTTGGCATGCGCTGGTTGGTTGGCTTGGTAAATTAGCCAAAGTCTGAGATATCTTGTTTTAAATTAAAGACTTGCCCACAAATGTTCATGCTAGCTCAGAAAGTGCAGCATTATTGTGACACAGTGTTGGTTAACGAAGCAGCTGCGAAACGGTTATTAACGGTTATACACAAATATAGTATCTTCAAGTTGTTGTGAAACGGAGAGGTAAAAGCTGAAACCATGTTTCCCATAAAAGGGAAAAAGTGAAATGGATAATATCTAGTATTTATTATAACTAATTGAAGTCTGTAGAAAAACCCTGAAATGGATAGCAGTATCTGGTATTTCTTATAACCAATTACAGACTATAGGCGAATTGCTAAAAACAGCTACGAATCGGTTATTAAACGGTTAAGATACGTAACAAAGTTTTTGAAATAGTTTTTTAACACTTGTTAAACTAAAGCTTTAAAAACGTGTTGAAATGTTTTTGAAATGGTTTTCTAATACATATTTGTGAAAACGGTTATGAAACGGAAATAATAAAGTGGGCAAATGGCTGTTAAATTGTTATTTGATATGTGAAATCGAAATTAAGCACATATTTATGTAATGTCAGTGAAACGGTTATGAATCGGTTATATCGAATAAGACCCGTTTGCAATCGTTTATGTGACAATTATGCCTTTAAGCACCCGCACTTCCCACTTCACACCAATAACAACTGACACAGACTGCGATCATGGAATCTGGCACTCGCCACACAAGCTGTTGTGCCCGTAACTTCTGCTGTTTGAGTCTTAGACATTGCCTGCGATTTGGTCTTAGCTGCAGCTGCTGCTCTAGTGGATCCAGTTGAGTCTCTTGGGGCAGCCGGAACAAGCGGCTCAGCCGAGGCTCGCTGTTCAAGTGGCAAGCACTCGCGCCAGAGCTTATGCTTTTGGATTTCTTTTCCACCAGCTATCGCCACTCGAGCACACACACACACACAGACACATGCAGAGAGACACGCAGTGGCATCACCCACACACAGTAGACACTCGAAAAATGTGCTGACAAAGACCTAATCTAGGGCGTCTATAAACATGCGCCGGTTTCTAAAGTCTAACTGCAATAGTTTGGGGGCCTGCCTTAGACAGGTCGGCGACGTACGTGTTGATAACTGCCGAGAGATGACACAGAGAGAGGACGGGCATCCGCATTGCAGTGCGCTCGAGCTCTCAGATTTTTAATGATTGGCACGATTGTCTTGGCTACTTAATGATGTGCCCAAGTGTGCCGAGCCACTACTCCGACTGCCTTCGACTATCTCGCATAGGTGCCGGGGCGCCTCTTTGTGTCATTTTCGTGTCAACTACCAGGCTGCATATACACATATAACTTAATGAACTTTTCAAAAAACCCACCTACCCCTACCATCCATCTACCCCAAACCGGCTGCGTAATTTAATTTTAATTTCGCAAGCAGTTTACTGGAAGTAATTTTGTATGCATTGAAAATATATTTGCTGCTATCGCATGGAAAACACTCGACAACGTCGACGATGACGACAATGCTGCCGAGTTCGAGTCAGACAGAGCGACAGAGCGACAAATCGACAGACAGTCGCCCAATTCAAACGAATAATACGCAGAGTCAAAACTCATGCTCGCCAGCTTTCAATACACTTTCCGAAGGGTATTTTGCATTTTCAAGCATTTAAGTCAGAGTCTATATATGTTGCTGATCAGCATCAACTACCAAATCTTATCCAATATCCCCATGTTTTTATGCATCTAACTATTTGGCCAAAAGCTATACGCTTCCGATAACTATATCGTTTAGCTGACATAGAAATTATTGGCCTAGATTTTAGCTTATAGCTTATGTTCGTTTATTGAGTTTAAGATCAAGCGACGTATTGCCTCGCACTACTATATCATACAGAAATAATTATTTGGCAGTTGATTTCTTGACTTACTTTTTGCACACTTGAAGATTCAGCACTTTAGAACTATATAGCTGCACTTAACTTAGTCAATTGTGCTTTATTATAATTTAAGAAGAAGAAACATATCTAAAACGCACTGCAATATCTTATGCGATATATTACATATCTTTCATATCACATGTCATGTTATTGCATAGTTTTGTTGAAAAAGGAATTATTATTTATTCGTTTCATGTTTTTCCAAGCTATCATAACCAAACTTGGCATTTATAAGCTTTATCTTTGCTTCTTTATTTTTATATTTATATCTATATGTATTTGCAACATTTTGAAAAGTATAATCCTACTTCTTCAGCATGGCTGGCAGGGTATTCAATCTTCATCACATTCATAAATATATTCAAGATAAGCAAACATATATATGTGAGAGGAACGTTTTATATTCTACTTCAGCAGAGTATTCAATCTTCGGCACATATGTAAATGAATCTATGCTCCTCTGCTTTTGTCTCACCTCTTGCCTGGCTGGCTGGGGGTTACTTGTACCGCAGATTTGTGTCAATTTGAAACGACAATTTTTTGAAATACAATACGCCGAAGGCAGGCGCATTGCCGTAGGCAAAACGGCAAAAAGGCGAAAAAGGCTGTGCGCCTTTGCTATTTTGGCTGTGCGTTCAACTGAAATACTATTTATATATGCGCTCAGATACGCAGATACATTTGCATCTGCAGCGGCAAACAGACGCCCATTACTCATGCAACAGGCAACAAAAAAAGTGTAGAACAAAATAACAAAAAGAAGAAGCAGCAGCAGGCAAATGGAAAATCTATTCACATATCGCTCACATTTCGATGCCGCTTAGCGATAAAGTCGCGCAGCTAGACTCAGTTACAGATACAGATACGCGCTGCAGCCGCAGATACAGATACTTTGGACAAATAAATATGCATTCTCTCGATTTACCCGAATCGCGTTCGCCCTTTGATTTTGTTTTATTTATTTGTTTGTTTGTCGTTTTGTTGCTTTTTGTCATGCAAACGAAAATTGAGACTGTTTTTTTTTCTCATTTGTGTTTGTCATTAACTTTTTAAACGATCCGTCGTTCAAAAAGTTAGTTGCCAATTGAAGGACTTACAGTTTAGTAGTTACAACAGGCTTCTTTTTAGTTGAAGTACAAAAATACCTTCGATTTTCAAGGAAATTCTTGAGTTGTTTGTGATGTAGAACCCAGCGAAAAGCTTTTGTTA